AGAGGACCTGGGGTGCTGGTCAACACCAGCTGAACATCAGCCAGAGTGTGCCCAGGTGGGCAAGGAGGCCAATGGCATCCTGGTTTGGATCAGGAATAGTGAGGCCAGCAGGAGCAGGGCAGTGATTGTCCTCCTGTACTCAGCGTTGGTGTGGCCCCTCAAGCCCTGTGTTCGTGTTTGGGCCCCTCACTCTGAGAAAGGCATTGAGGGGCTGCAGTGAGTGCAGAGAAGGGAACGGAGCTGGGGAAGGGTCTGGAGCACAAGTCTGATGAGGAGTGACTGAGGGTATTTAACCTGGAGAAAAGGAGGCTCAGCAGGGACCTTACCACTCTCTACAACTGCCTGAAAGGAGGGTGTGGAAAGCTGGGTCTATATCTGCTCTTAGGGAAGAAGTGACAGAATGAAAGGAAATGGCCTCAAGCTGTGCCAGGAGAGCTTCAGGTTGGACATCAGGAAGAATTTTGTCACTGAAAGGGTGGTTAAGCACTGGAATGGACTCCCTGGGCTGCCCAGGAAAGTGGTGGAGTCATCATCCCTGGAAGTGTTCAAGAAACAACTGGACATGGCACTTACTGCTACAGTCAGTGATCTTGAAGGTCTTCTCCAACATTAATGATTCTATGATTCTGTGATTAACCATCAAATAATATTTCACTAATATGCAGTTTATATCAAATTATCTGCTGAATTGGATGGCAAAGAAAGCTGGCAATATCTGTCTAGCAAAGTGCACAGATCACTAACCAAGGCATCAAACCAACAACTGGCATTAGTGGAGTACTTTCTGGCCTCTTCCAGAAACTCAACAGGTCCTGGCAAACGGAGCCACTGTTTTGTGAAGCATGTCAAAGCTATGGAAAATCTCAGAATGCAAACATCACCGAGCTTGCACAACCTATGTGTTCTAGGGTGCCCAGCTGTGCTGAACTGTATGTACAGGCACTGCTCTGTAGCTGTTCCAGCTTGGGAAGGGAGCAGTGTGACAGCTTCTATAGGTCCCTGCACTTAGTAAATTCTGGCTCTTGGGAAGCTTATTGGGTCGTATGCAAGGCATGCAATGAAGCTGGACTGTTTCCTGATGTGAGCTGGTGACACAAAGCCAGGATGACACTGACACTGCACTATACTTCTGGTTTGAAGGTTACTCCAGGCATGCTGCATCCTTGCATGGTACAAATGCAGCTCCCTTCAGAAAGGCTGCAATGACTTATTTTACTGAAGCCCATTGACATTCTCATATAAAAAAGCAACACACAGGGGCTACAAATAACAATATGATTAATAGCACTGTCTGTGTTTCAAGAAGCAGGACATTAGCTGCCAGCTACTATGACAGAAATGTAGACTTTCTTCAATTAGAGATTCAGTCTGTTAGATCCAATCACATTAAAAAGTTTAAAAAATAAAATGTATAAAGTTTCAAAGGGATTCATTAGCACAGCTGTAATGTCAGCAAAGGTTCTCGTTTTCTAATAAAACACATGAGTGCAGGGAGTATCACTTGATTGCTGCTGTGGAATTGCTAAGTCTGGAGTAGTCTGCAGCAGAGGCAGAGTTCATACAGTTTCCAGCACACTACATCCTGATGGAAGACTCCAAATGCAATCAAAATGCACGCATATCAGAGAATCACAGAATCTTTTAGGTTGAAAAAGACCTCTGAGCTCATTGAGCCTAACTTGTGACAAAACACCACCAGACCATGGAACAGAGTGCCACATCCAGTCTTTCCTTAAACACCTCAGAGACAGTGACTTCAACACCTCCCTGGGCACCCCATTCCAATGTTTAACTAACCTTTCTGTGAAGAAATTCACAGAAAAAGTGAAAAAAGTGCCTTCTGATGTCCAGCCTGAACCTCTCCCAACACAGCTTGAGGATGAGCCCCCACCTTGCTACAACCTCCTTTCAGACAGTTGCAAAGAATAATAAGGTCTCAAATATATTTTTAAAATATAATATATGTGTAATAGTATGTTTTTAAATTCTCTCCTTACTCTAGAGGAGGTTCACCACCAGCCAATCTGCTGTGTTTCTGAGACAGAGGTTACCACTTCTCTTCCCTCAACTGCACTGATTCCCTTAGAGAAAGTTAAAGTCCCTGAATAAGCAAAAGAAACTGAATGGTCTTTTCAGCAAAGTACATAATAAGCACATGCCTAACATCAGGTATGCTTTACAAATTCAATCAGCTTTGCTGAGCACAAGTGGATATAAATATATGCTTGTATGCTTTTCTGAAATAAGCGTGACATGAGGACAGCACATGGGATTCTCTGATGCTCTCCAGAGCTGGCCAGCAGCTCTGTGTGTCAACATGACACATCCAGGTAACAAAACCCAACCTGCAATCCCATCATGACCCAGGCTCCCTGGCTATTTAAGAAGTCACTGAATTTCTCTCTGATCACCTTCCTAAGAAAAAAAGGAAATAAAGCAAAATATAAAACCTGGGCAAATTACAGTAAGTCGTGATAAAGTGCCTTTTGATCATTTTTTCATGGTATGATTCACTGTATAAAAGCAGGACCCTGCACTTTTAGCTAAACAAACTTCCATTAATTTATTGATGCTATTAGTATGATAGCTACCATTTTTGCTTCTCAGTCCTTTCATGATTTCAACATGGTATTAAACTGCCCTTTCATCCTGGCATAAATATGAAACCGCTAGAAGGGATATTTTCCTATTTCCTTTTCCATTCTGAATTTTCTGTCACCCCAAGGATAACATGAGTGGGTAGAACCTCTGGTCTATTCAAAATTCTAATTTATGCTGAAATCATGCAGCAACCCCAAAATAAGCAATGTAAATTGTATCTGAGAGACCACTGTCAGCAGGGAGCAAACAGCAATGTGCTCTGGGAATTGTAGCATCTCTCACTATCCCTCTGCTGCTCCAACCTCTGTAACAGGGAGACTGGGTTCCACCCAAAGAGCAGCAGAACAGCAAACCTTTTACAACATGTTCCCTAGGACTGTAAAATTACTACAACCTATATCTGTATTCAGCGCCTCCCTCCAAGCAATGGGAACAAAAAATATCCCAGAATATGCAGAATATTAAGGAATGGTGTTTTCATCACTGGCTGCTTCATCATTTAGCCATCAATAGGGAGAGATTAAAGGAAAACAAAGAAAAAATAACAGCAAAGACAGAAGAAAAGAAAAAGGTGGGAAGGGGAAAAGAGGGAAGGAGGAAAACAGGTAGGTAACCCTGGAATTGCACCAAAAGCTGGAATGTTGCCTCTACCCAGGAAAAGCAATATACAGAAGCTGCCTAACAGCATGAGGCAGAAGGAAGCCCACGACAAGTCTGCTTTCATGCTGCTGACAAACTTGGCAGAGAGCTGCATAAAGGGCAAGCTCAGGCCCAGAGGTAGAACAGAAAAGCAGATGTGGTCAAGAGTGATGCAGCCTAAGCTACATGTCCCCCAACATAACCACAATGAACTGGGGGCAGAGACATCAAGCCAGCTCCAGAGGAGGGGATTTCTGTGTTTTCTCCCCACAGCCTTCTGTACACACTGAAAAACCAATTCTTCCTGTTACCATGGTAGTATTTCATCACTGGTGTCTGAGCACAGTTGTAGCTATACAAGAGGAAGACACCAAATCCTAGACAGGAAGGTGAAAAAGGGACAAAATTTCAGCAGTTCATCACTACAGAGACACAGGACCTCAGGAGAGGATTTTAACAGCTACCACTGCCACCTGGCAAAGATAGCCTCACCTGAACTCAGACAGGTTGATCCTGGGCATGTTACTAAGTGGCAGATGATGCACAGTCACACTGTGGATTTACACAGGCATGTGACACTGTTTTCTGGAGTGACCAGACTGACCTTCCACTTTCTGACCTTCCACTCCAAATGTCCATTGTTTGGCTGATATTAAAGGGGTGAAGAGAGGCAATGGCACTGTGACAGCCACTCATCCATTCAGTCTGGTTTACATGGCGATGATAACTACAGCTCCAAATATAAACACCAGTTAAACTCTGACCATTGGCAGGACATCAAGGGAATGCTTGACAGATGTGTTCTATTGTACACCTCCACAGATCACCTACACACTATCAACCCAAGCTTTTTAATATTTCCATCACAGGATGCACAGATCTGTACACACAAGAGCCATGGTGAGGTCTTAAGGTAAGTTGGGAAAAACTCAGCTTGGTCTCCTGGGGCATCTAGGGTTGAAGTGCTACTGCCATTTCCAGGTGTGTCAACAAAAGCCCCTGAAAGGCCCATTCCACTCTGCTTTTCTCCTCTAGCTGGAATGGCTGCTTTTCTGACCTTTACAGTGAGCTGTATCATGGAAGCCACCACTGAAAGTAAACCCTCTAAATAGGGAAGAAACTGATCCTGCTCAGCACACTGCTCAAGGGAACTTAACAGAAACAGAGCCAAGCACACACACCACAGAGAGGGTAGGTCCTGTTAGTGGCAGCACCGGGTCAGACCTGATTAGGATGACTGTGAAACTGCACCTCTAACTGGACAAGTGTCATCAGGCACCCCAAAAAAAAATCTCCCAAACTGACACATTCAACACAGTGCTTCTTGACAGCCTCACAGGTCAGAACAGTGGGATGAGGACTGCAAAAATCACACGATCTGATGTGTTCTGGGTGTCTGCTGTTAAAAGACTCTGTCTCAAGTGTTCATTTTGCTGCAGTTTTTTTGTTTTATCCCTTAAAAACAAGGGTTCTGCCTTTCCATAGCCCTGCACTCTCCACAGTCATTTACGCCTGTGTAACGTGTGAGCAGTGTGGGTGTAAACATTACTATTCTGGTTTGGTAGCATTTGCCACCCACTTTGCCTAGGTGTGAATGACTGCACAAGGTGCAAGGCAATGGTGACAGTGCTGCAGGGACTGTTTTACATAGCTCCTACATCAATAGTAATACAGTGCACAGGGATGGAGAGACAGCAAGAGAGCAGGAGGAAAGATGCATCAGGTATCTGCCGAAAAAACAGCCTGACAAGAGGCCTCACCAAGAACAAGCAACTCCACTGATTCTTCATTCTTGCCCTCCACATCATCAGGTGTGATGATAAGGCAGTAATACAGGCCACTGTCTCCCCACATCAACTTCCCGATTTGCAGGTCTGCATCTGGAAGGCAAAAAAGAAAAGTCAGGTTTTCCCTCCAACACTTACAAGAAGAATGGAGTGTTGAATGCACTGGGTCCATCTCTGTGTCCCAAATCCATCTAATTTCCTTTCTAAGAAGAAGGGTTAACCTTATCAAGAATATCACAGCATTCAGGAAAAAACAACCAGTCAGGACTTCTGGCTGTAGGTGGAAAAACAGATAATGCTGCAGAGGCAGCTCACCCTGCAAGTGCCAAGAGCAGAAGTGGTCATGAATGTTTCTCTGTCCTTCCTGTCACCTAGGGCACACGTCCCAACACATTCATGTCATGGACGAAGGGCTTAGACAGTGTGTCCTCTACAGCACCTCAGTCATTTGTGAAGAGATTATACAGAGACAAAAGAAAACACTCCTTCTTATGAGACTGATCTCATGATCTTCACACCAAGGAGTTTCCACTTCTGGCTAGGTGGTCCCCCTCGTCAGACACCTTGTACTTTTGAGAGACAAAGTCTCTCACACAACCTTACAGACAAAAATGTTTAAGGACCTTGCTGTCCCTCACCTCCACCCAACCTGACTTCACCCCAGAGAAATCTCTTTCTTTCACTCTGCCTTCACCTCACAGAAATCTCTTCCTTTCACTCTCACTTAAAGCTGTGTGGGTTTAAGTTCATGACAGAGTAAGCTGGTGAAGTCTGTGGCTGAACAAACATGAGGTGTAGGATAATCTTGATATTTCAGAACTAGGAAAACATCAGTGGCATTTACAAGGAACAAACACCTAGCCTGCAGAGACTGAATTTGTATCTCTTGCTGCCACCCCTTTGCTAAAGAAAATCTATATACACAGCAATATGCAGAAGTCAGGGGAAAAAGCTTCCACTTCATGGAAGGGAGAAAAGGATACTGTATTTGAAGACCTACGTGGAGTCAATTGAAGGTTAGTGCCAAAGGAAATTTTGGGTATAGGATTGGTTAGCTGAATCCTAAATGTCTGACTTAGAACAGCTCCCTTCCCACAGTCTTTTCTGAGGGAATCAAGTGAACAATTTCTGCCAGACTCCAATATCCCAAATTGCTGAGGGTCCATTCCAGCCCCCACCAAGTATCACCGGGGTAGGAGAGTTACCATGGACAATGCTGACGTCTCTTTCCTTATAGAAGTCTCCTATGGTGATGGCAGATCCCTGCTTGGAGGCCACGACACGGACTGTCCTCCTGCTGTCCACACAGTCCAGGTAGGGATCCCAGTCCAGGTTCCTCTTGCTCATTGTTTGCAATCCTGAAGTCACCATACCCAGAGCTTCTCCCATCCGGTCCTGGCAGTAGGATTTGTACCTCCACTGTACCACAGCTGGTTGGGTGGAAGAAGTGGAGAAATGGCAACGAAGCAGAGCAGGCTGAAATAACATGGCCACCTTCTTCTTCTCTGGCACAGTGACCTGCAACCCTTCCACCTCAGCTAGAAGACAAAAACATGAGTATCAGATGCCTTGGCACTGCTTGAAGAGGGAGCTACTGCATTTTATCACAATATCTTTCTCCCCTCATAGATAAAATTGTCAATCTGTTTCAGGTGCTAGGGCGCAACACTCCTCAATGTATGTAATTCTGCTGTTGGCAGCAGAATTAAATTTGCTTTTTCATAGCTTAAAGTCACAAAGAAAAACACAGCATGATGGGGCTGAAGGCTCAAATGTAGCATCCTTATGCTATAGAAGCCCTAACACAATGGTGTGATGATTCACAGCTTCTGGGGCAGGTTCAAACATAAGGAAGAAGTATTTTAGGGATGGCCATGCTCCACTTGAACAGCAGGTCAGCCAAGGGGCCAGATCCTGAGTTCATGACAATCCCACTGCAGAATAAGTCACCTCACTCCCCATTTCAGTGGCATCACACCTCCTCTTTACAAGTCAGGCAACACACAGTGCCTGGACCAGCACATTCTGCACTGGTGCCCAGTTAGTGCTGCCTGCTCTGCCAAACTCCAGAGATGCAGGAAGGAGTGGATCCAAATCACAGAGCTCTTCCCAGGGCTGGCAAGTAGCACTGAGACAAATTGCTCCACGTGGGAGGTGTGGAGAAAAAGGGCCCAAACTCTCAAGTTTTTCACATTCCCAGGCAGGAGAGGGATCTCAACATGTAATGTTTATCTAGCAGCTGACAGGAGAGCTGCAGCCTGCACCTGATGCAATAAGACCTGATGCATTAAGAAGATGCAGGGGACTGCTGTTACACCCTTGTGTAGCTGAGGAAAAGTCAGTGAGCAATGTCAGCCTTCTAGAGAGTGAGGCACTCCATCCACCCACAGGGATATGGCCAAAACTCCCCTACATGCCCTTTGTTGCTTCCCTCCTTGTGCTGCAGGCAGCAATGTCTGAGAGCACTCACATTAACACTGGAAAAAGGGAATCAGGTTCAGTATGGAAAATGCTGGTGCTACCACACACCTCACTCAGAGCAGGTGGAAAAGACAGAATACACAGGGGAACAGGGAAAAAGAGGAAATACAAGGAAACATTCAAGACAACACAGCATAAGAGAAAGCAAACACAACATCTGCAGAAGGGACTGGTGGACTTGGGGAAGGTTAGTGAGGAATGAGAAGACTGAGGACAAAGAGATATCAAGAAGCAGTAGAAAAGAAGGGGAAATGCAAGAAAGAAGGGAAAAAAAGAGTAAGGATAAACTATCAGAGCAAATAGAAGAAGCAGAATGATAAGCAGGATGACAATCAGGAAGCTTGCATTCAGTTGGAAGAAGCTGGAGAAGTGTCTTAGCCCAGGTCAAAGTAAGTACAAAGGGCTGCAGCCAGGTTGCAGGAGATTTAGAAGTAATGTAGAGAAGAGAGGAAATTGAGTCAGCAAAAATAACCCACCCACTCCAAAAAGCAGAGATGAAAATTGGCAAAAGAAAGTGAAATGACAGCAGATATCTTTAGAATGGGGGTGGGGGGAAAAGGCATAGACTAAAGCACTGGAGCTTGAAGCAGACAGAGAGCAATAAATGCATCAACTATGTAACAACAGGCATGAAGAGACAAGGTCAAGCTGGAGACAGCTGCAGACCTGAAAAGCAAGAGTAAGCAGAGATTGCATGTTCAGTATTCAGAACCAAAGGAAAGTGAAGAGTCTGATAAAACAGTGAATATTAAATTCAACAAGTTATCACTGTCTGCAGTGATACACTGTCTGCAGTGAACTGTAAAGCACAATGAAGTCTATAAATCCCAGCTGGAGAGGAAAACACAGCATGGATAGAACCTAGGGAAAAGCTTATTTCAGAGAGGCAAGGTGGTCACTGATACTAACAGTTACTGATCTAGGCAGGATTGGACCTTGGGGACTACTATGTGAAGGCTTGAGGAGCACAAGGGTGCTCTGGCATTTGCACAGAAATGCTATATTATGCATATAATGGATGCAGGACACCACACACATTGTCCTTGTGCCATGTGGAAGTGGCACAGGAGGTTAGCAGTTTTGCCAGAAGCACCTGGACCCAACTGCAGACACTGAGTGTGGCTGTTCTCTCAGAGCACCATCAGGCATAGCTGAGGTCTCCCACAGGACAGGCAGGGAATGAGGCAGCTCCTGCACTTTCCCGAGACACAGGCAAAGAGATTATTCAGGAAGTAGCAGCTGGGACATTTCTGCCAGGCTTCCTTTACCCAGGGACCAAGCACAGGGGCCATGTGGCACTAAGGGAACGCCACCACTTGCTTCTCAAGGTGAACCAAGTGGTGATGCCTAATCCTCTCCCCTCCAGAGATTCACACTTTCTGGGAAACGTGAAGAACACCTCAAAAAACCAATGGCTCCAGTCAGACCTGTGTCTGGCAGCTCCATGACCCCTCAGAGTCTGAGGCCAAAGCCAGCAAGTGGCAAGAGCTGATCAAGTGACTCATCACGTTACCTCAGCTTCAGGGATAAAACAGTGACACACTGAATATTTCAATCTTTCCCTTGTGAACCAAGTATGCTGCTTAGTTAACACAGTGCTCTCAGCTAACCATGCACCACAGCCCTCCTTCCCTGTTAATGAGATTAATGAGTTTGGCAAGCCAGGGACTGCTTTAATAAATGATTAGCTGAGCTTTAGAAAATTCTCATCTGACTAACTTTCCCCACCCTACCCCCATGTGAATATCTACATCAAGAAAAGCAGCTTTTGGGAAAATACAGGAATACTTTTTCTACCAAAAAAGCATTTTGGAGATGTGCAGAATATTATCTGGCATCTTTTACATCCTACCCCAAGCTCTTTATTAACTTCTTAAGTATTATTTTCAGATTCCTTCCAGGAATAGCATTTAAGAGCAACACAGTGCCTCAGATTGGGAGACTGGAGCAGAGGAAACTTTAGATCTATTTAAGTCAAATTATATATAATTATATATGGCTGAATTGGGAAATTATACACCTGTTATTTCCTCTGCCAAAAAAGAATTACTGGAATTGATTCATGTAGTATGTCACTGCTGTAAGAGTGTCCACCAAAAAGGCCACCAGGATGTCTGACTGCCTGAAGACAAGATGGTGGCTTTATACTGATCAGTCATGTCCAGGTATAGGAATTATAAGACTTCCTAAACTTCAAGAACAAACTGCTGACCTCAAAATGTAGTGTAGCCAAGACAAGAAAAGCCTCAGATGTATCACAGGGCAGAACTCTGAGTTGTTAATACAGTACAGAAAAAAAAAGAGTGAAATATATGAAAAATTATGAGAAGCTTAGTGACAGCACTGTGGTAACTCTTTGTCTAGTTTAATACAAATAGGACTAAAAAGAAACTGAATTGTGTTGTGCTATGTTTTGACTAATGCAGACAGAGCAAAATTAGCCTTAACTTCGAAGTCATGACTGAAATGCAATTTCTGCACTCTAGAGAAGGAACCTGTTCATTGTGAATTTCACAATGTTTCAAGTTTAACAAGAATAAAATCTAGCTCCTGGGAATCTCATGACTACATGGTTGTTTTGCTTTCCTCCCTTCTTGCTCTCCTAAACCCAAAGAAAAAGGTCTGAAAATATTAATCAATTGCATCTTATAAACATTGTTATCCTTTCTCTTAGAAAATAAAAAAAATCCATGGTTTTATGTGTCTATATAAATATATATATACACACTCCCGGAGAAAGAGCTTAAAAATAATCACACTTCCGAAATATAATTGTATGGGGTTTGTCTGTTTCAGTTGGCAATGTGCATTTGTCTCCTTGCTCTGATTCCTTTCCTGAACTATCCTCAGATTATGCATTCAAACTATGCAATCAACACTACACACAAGCTACCACTAATACATTTCACTGGTGATTAAAGAAAATTCCAGGAAGCGATTACAGAGGGGATATTTGTAAGGGCGGGTTTGAGCCTTCTGTGCCTGATCTTCCTAAGCGCCTTCCCTGAGCAAGAGAAGGCAATTGAGAGGTGATAACTGAGGCTTTTGGTTTGCCACTGACCTCCAGAGAAGCCTGTGCCTCCCTGAGATGAAACGAATCCCAGGAAGATTTAACTTCACTGCACAGCTTCTAGGAATAGAATCACAGAATGGTTTGGGTTGGAGAGGACCTTAAATATCATGTAGTTAGAATAAAATTGATCTGAAGCACCAAACCCTGGAAGTAATGGCAAAGCCAAATACTGTTGCTCAGTAGAACGTGTCTCAGGCTGCATCCTTCTGGAACACACAAGACTCGAGTCCAAGAGAAGGAAGGCAGCACACATTATTCTTCAGGTTACACGGGTCTCCCTATCTGTGCATGTATCTCATCTTTCTTAGCAATTATTTGGCTCATGCTACTCCTTGCCTGAGGTAGTACAGCTGATTCTACAAACTACAAAAATTGCATCCTCCATTTTCATGTACCTTTATTGACAGGAGTGGCAGTTGTGCACACAGGAGAATGGAAATGGAAATCACTGGGTCCTGAACCAGGAATCTCAGGAAAGCTACTCCTAGACTTTACCTCAGGGCTTTGGCAGAAAAGCATCTGTTCACTGGTAAGAGACAGTGCCCTTAGGGTAGCTCATACCACTTCCCAAATAAAATAAACTGTTGGGCAAAAGTATTTGGCACCTTGGATACTCTGTATCATTTCAAAGTGCTCTCCCCACTGCTGAATCCTGATACACCATTCACACCTTCATATGTGGATCAAGCTGGGATCAGGAAGATCTGGGCTTTGAGACCAGAAAGTCAAAAATTATAAAGAGATGTGTAAACAGATGAATGGTGAGCCAGTGGGATCACTGAGATTGTATTGTACACGTTCTTGCCTACTCATGTTGGACTACATCCAATCCATGCAATTTACCAGCAAAAGTCATCACCATCAGATTATGGCGAGTGCTTATGGGAAATTAATTGGATGCCTTGGTCTGGTTCCTACGAGACTTGTGTTCTTAGCAACGTGACCACTAATTGTCAACTTTTTTTGGAAGCAAGAAACCAATGCATGAACAGCTGCAGCTGAGGTGAAAGCATGGTTCTGTTTTCAATAGCTCCATAGCAAAACCAAGAATTTCAGCTCTCCAGCTACTTAACCTGGAAAGGGGAAAACCCAAAGCAGCTGCAGAAGAACAGCCAGCACTCACAGCACAAAAACACTCCATGTAGGACAGCCCAGGCTGTGCAAAATTACTACAGTAGGCATTTGACTATTCCTTGCTCTTAGCCATTCTCCGTGGTGCTCTCCCCAGGCACCCCTTGCTCCTCACTTCATTCTCTTCATCATCTTCCCTGTGCTCATTACACTCCTTCCACACATTCACAAAAGTCACCCTGGATACTCACAGGTGAATTATCTCAGCTCTGGCCACCAGATCAAACCCACCCTGTCTTACTGCTGTCTGAAACCTGTTACAGTTGTCAGATGCCTCCTGATCTAGACTTGGTTCAGCATCCCAGAAATCATTCCCAGAAATATCACTCATTAGAAGCCTGAGAACAAAGCAAAAGAAACGTGTAAAGAATTCCTCCAAGCCTTGTAACACCAAGCCATAATACCTGTCCTTGGGATTTCCACTGCTGCCAGTCTCACTCAAGGTGACCTCACAGGAATAAAAAGTAAGAAAAACATAAGATTTCTTCCCAGTTAAGCTACACTTGCTATGCTCTGTGAAACCAAGCAAGAGAAGTCAGATGAACACTTTAAATCAAGACAAGTAAAAGAGTCTAACCATTTCCCTGCCTCCTCAAGAAGTGTGGTCAGCTGGCCAGAAACAGCAAAGACACAACTGTGATCCAGCATGCCCCCTGTGCCTGCCCTCCTGACCTGTGGCTGGGAAAGAACAGGTACAGCAACAGTGTGCAGGGACTGAGTGCTAAATTACTGGTGGAAAAGCACTTATCAGGAAGATCCCATTCTAACATGGACAGTCTTCTAATTGTAATTTTCCCAAGCTTAGTCCAAGTTGTGAGGCAGGAAAAATTTGATCTGCTTGTTCTGTACTAAAACTGGAGTTCAGTCGCCAGCACAGCACTATGCTCTTGTTTCAAATCTGTTTCAAATGCATTAGAAATTACAGCATTAATAAGAAAATGGTAAACACAAGGGGAGGATTCATTCCAGAATCAAGCTGCACTTGGTAATTTACAAGAACAGGCTTTACACAGGGACTAAGGATACTTGGCAAATTGTATCTTCTTTTTATAGAATGAGAGCACAGTCCCACACATATCTTAACCCATGTGACCTCACAGGAAGGAATAAAGAACGACCTGCTCTTCATCCATTTGCTGTTGTTATTAAAACACTCGCTTCAGGCACGTGGGAGAGCAGGACAGGAGGGGGAGAAGCCAAACAAAATCCATTGTACCTCACACAGGATTTTTTGAAATTGCTGTAAGAACTCACAATGCGCAAAACCAAACAAAAGATAAATGCAAGAGCCAAAAATTAAAGACAAATAAAGGACAGAGAGGAATTACTGCTGTGAGGAAAGGGACTGAAAGTGCTGATTAGAAATTTCTCAGCCGACTTTGAGGAGGGAGGAGGGGAGGGAAGGGAATGAGAGGCTTCTCTTTCGTGCTCGCTTTTGTCTCCCTGCTTCTTCCCCATCTTGCACTCTGTCCCCTGGCCCCTCCACCTCCCAACCCCCACTACTCTTGCCCAGAGTGGAGTGTACCACTCTGGCTGGATTAGGGCTCCTTACCTTACTGCAGACCTTTCATTCCTTTGCACAGCCACTGGGGAGAGGAAAATCTTGAATCCATGTTTGCTAGCTAGCCCCCTCTCCCTTTTCCGTGCACACACACACTCACACACCTTTGCTTATTTGCTTTCTGTCGGCTGTGAAAAAGGACATCAGCACCTGATTTATGGCTGGCAGCAGCGGCTGGAGGAGGCTGGAGGGGAGCAGGCGAGCACTGACTGCCTCCATCCCTCAGCACACAGCTATGGATAACCTGTTGCCTGCCGGAAGCCTGTGCCTGCCAGCTCTCCACAGCACCAGCAGCACGCAGTCCTGTCTCAAAATCACAGCGCTGGAGGAAACTGGAAGGTCTTCCCACTGCAGCCGTAACTCTCTCTCTGCATTGACCCTGCATGCTCCAAGCAGTGCTCGCTGCCAGGAATCTTGAACTGCCCTCACTGGAAGGAGAAAAGTGTCAACAGCCCAGTCTTTTAGCTCGATAAAAAAATCCTGATTAGCCTGACTTGTCTAGATAAAGAAGCTCTTTATAAAAAGGGAGGAATGTAATGTCATTACATTACATGTACATTAGCTACACCCTACACTGCTTTGCCAGTCCTTGAATGCTATTTATCAGCACGCTACTATGGCTAGTAGGAAAGGAGGGGCAGCTGTGGGTGCGCAGGCACTCCAGACCAACTCACTGAAGTGGGATACATTTGGAAGCAGCCAAATGGCAGGGAAGGAGGAAGGGAGAGATAGGAAGAAGAATGAACTGGAAGCTGCTGAAGCCCCAGATGAGGCCGTGAAACCCTGGAAGGGAGCAGTAGGCAGGCACCGGTGTTGAGGATGACTCAGAGTGAAAATGCAAGGAAAGGGGTGGGTGGGTGGTGGGAGAGAGGTGTTATGACTAAAAAGCCGAATTTACTGCTTGTGAATCCTAAATCCGAATAGGAAGAGGGAAGAGGCTGAGGTCTTTTTTGTGGGATACATAGGTGACAGTGGGAAAAATATGCCATTTAACCCAAGTGTGTCTGTTTCTTCTTTCAGCCTGTATCCAGCCTGCCTGGCTAAGTCATCCTACTGCAGCTTTTCCTATAGCTTGCTGCTCCTGCCTGTGCTTGGCTGCTTCACCGGCTCACAGGAGGCAGATCTTGCTCCTGACCTGACACGGCTTCTCTTTCTCCCCAGTTCCCGGCTGCCCCGCCGCTCTCACCTGCTGTAATCCCTTCCCTCTCCTTTCCTCGCTGCCCAGCTCTCAGACCCAGCTCCTTTTCACCTTGTCCCCCCCGCCCTCTCCCCATCACTGAGCCCTCTCTGCTCGCCTCTCCGGCTCCCCTCCCCCTGCCCTAGCGGGGGACTTGCCCGACCTTTTCGGGAGCCGGCGAGGTGAGGGGTGGGCGGCGAGCTGGGCTGGGGGGCAATCCCGTCCTGCGCTCACAAAGGCCTGGGCGCAACTGCACCGTCACGGGGAAGGCCCCCCTAGAATCCTGCCCTCTGGAAGCCGGGGCAGAGGCAAGGCAGCCCCCTCCTCTCACACCTCTGCTGAGACGGCATGTGCAGTCAGGACACCGGCTAAAGGAGAAGTTCCTGCAATTGTTCCCGGCACGGCACGGGCGGGCGGGGGAAGCCGGGGGTTCGTCACCATCCCTCCCGCACCGCGGCCAAGGACACTCCGACCCCCCCGGGCCGGCTGCCCCTTCCCCGAGACGAGCGCGCTCTCTCCCCCGCGGCGAGCGGGGCCCAAGCGCCGCCGGCACCACGCGGAGCGGAGAGGAGAGGAGAGAAGAGAAGCGCCGGGGGCCGCCCGGACCTGCCCCGCGCCCCGGCCGGGCGGGAGGCACCGGCTGCCCCCCCGTTCCCAGCCCTCTCCGCAAAAGTCTGCGAACTGCCCCGCGGGACGCCCCCGAGCCCCACGCCGGCTCCCTCCGAAGCATCTCCCCAAAGCACCCCCAGTTTTCGCCCTCGGGAAAGCCGCGGAGCCCGGCGGGCTGAGCACGGCGTGGGACGTCGGGGCCACCGGGCCACCCGTGCCCCCGCCCGCGGCCCTACCTGCGATCCACAGCAGGACGATCCATCCCAGGACGTGCCCATCCATCTTCCCAGTGGTCCAGGCGGCGCGGGGCGGCGGGATTGCGCGGGGGCGGCCCCGCTCGGGCAGCCGCCTCCCCGCAGAGCCGGCCGGGCTGGCGGAGCGGGCGCGCCGTGTGGCTCCGCTCCGCTCCTCCCCCGGGCCGGCTCCCCGCGGCCGCCCCCGCCGCTGTCCGGGCTCGGGCGGGGGGCGGCGGCGGAGAGGGGAGGGGGACGCGGCTTCTCGAAACTGCTTCTCTTCCCCGCTCCCTCCCTCCGGCAAAGGCGCGTTTCGGTTGCCTGTGCCGCTCCTCAGCCTACGGGCACCCCGGCACGTCCCTCTGCAACTCCTTCAGCCCCCCCGGCATCCCCGCTTCTTCGCGGGGTTCTTACAACTTCTCTAGTAAGCGCTTGAAAATGTCCTCGCCGATCATCTGTCCTCCCCACATTAGACAAATGTACACCTTGGGAAATGAGCGTAGAGGGTTCCTGTTCTAAATTTCCCTGGGGTTTCCACTTCCAGCAAGGGCACAGCAACTAATTATTGTAATTTTAGATAAAGGAGTATAATTTTAGATGAGGAGGTGTTCTGTCTCTTAACAATGGGCAGCCGAGTTGCGGGGTGTTAAATTTTCGTGTTAACATGATACTGGAAGGGGATGGGGGTTTTGTTTGGGTTTGGCGTGTTTTGGGGGTTTTTTTTTGTTTGTTTGTTTGGTTTTTTGGGTTTTTTTGGGTTTTTTTTTGTGAGAAAAGGGTCACATACAGCCTTAAATGACATTTTAGAATATGGATGTTGCTTAGAAATTAAATGGTCCTGGCCGCAGCAAACCCACGTGGATACACATTAACTGTACTTAAAACTTTTAAAGTTTCTATGAAAACATAATAAGCCAGTGGAATTATTCATGGGCCTAAATAGCTGACTAAAATAGCATCATGCTTCCTTTTGTGGCTCAGCACCGGAGAGAGGCACAGAGTGCTAAATGGCACTCCCCATCCAGCACAGCTTCCCTTTGAGTGTTACTCATCCTCAGGCACTTTTCTTACGGGGGTTTGGCTGGTGTTTGCAACCAAAGCTGGGATGCTGCAGGCATCAGTGATCCACATGAGAGATGGGACTAGTCTCCAACTTTGTCTCATCTGGAATTTGCCAAAAAACACAAATGATTGATTTTTCGAAAGCAAAGTGCCTTGGTGTGTCCTGCTGCTAAAGGCAGGGTGCACAGGGATGCCTGCAATAAATCTGCACAAGCTGTTGACATTCTAGCAGGTGTTCTCCAGTTGCTTGTAGATTCCTCATCATTTCGCCTTTCAGACTGAACTTCTCTACAAGCAAGATAAGCTTTTCTTTAAAAGTGCAAATAAAAAAGATCAATAATTTCTGAAGGAAAAACCAAACCAGCATGTTTGCAGTGATAAAAGATGTGTTGAAACATCTTTGGTTGTTTTCAGACAGGTGTAGTCCCTCTGTTACTACAGTTAAAATTGAATTAAGCAAAGAGACAATCCTTAGGCACACGATCTGGTTTTAAGTGTTTTATTTGGAGCCATTGAATGTTATTTAAAAATATTTTTCACATGGAAGTTTATTTTCATTCAGCATTGCTTTAAAAAAATACACTCCCACCCCAATCAGTGTCCTGGTGTTCCTCTGACCTGATACATTATGCATTTAACTGTTATGCAGTACTAGCTAAAAGTTACTATTAAGAAGTCCCTATTACACTAAATAATGTATACATGTGCAGCAGTGCTGTTCTCCTTCAGCACACTGATCTGACACCCCACGGCCTTCAGCACAGGTGGAAGACAAAGTAGAAATTCTCATTAGGGGCACAAGCCCCCAGCAATGTGTGTTTCCAGAAAATTCAGATAGAACTGGTACTTTTCAGATGGTATTTTACATCAGCACAGAGCCTGCCTCACCACGGTTACCTATCTATAGGATATTATCCATGAAAGTTTGTATGGGTAAGACTCTTAAAATGTAAATACAAAGCTATTTTTCTCTTCTTCCCCAACCACTTTTCCTGATAACCCTCAACATTTCAAGTGAAATCCTGGTTCCTTGCCTTTTTGTAACTTAGCTGGCCAGGATTCTGAGCCAGAGTTTCCTGAGACAATGCTGATGTTGATATTATCTCATCTGTTTAACACTGGGAGATGTACGATCCCTTATGTGTCACTGTTGTTAGCTACTACTGGGGTTTTTTGTTAGTTTTTTTTTTTTTTTAATCTACTCCAGCTTTTGCAAATAAATTTGGCATGCATCACTTTTGCTAAACTTTTGACTCACGACAAAGGAAGGAAAGATTTTCAATAGAAGGAAGCACCATTGTTTCGCATGTAACGTTGGATTTATATCTGCTTTGAAATTCTCATAAACTTACTGTAGGGTCCTTTCTCACTTAATGTTAGCTGTCATTTGTATATATCCACCTAAGATGGATGCCCAGGCCCTGAATAGATGTTCCAGATCTCTGTAGACCTTTGATCTCCTGATTGCAACATCCGAGCTGGCTTAATAGTTAATGTTGGGATGTTGTCTTTCCTTTTAGCCCAAGACAGAAAGCAGCATGGATGCAGTTAGCCCCAGTTCACCTTCAAACGGCGGGGAAATTCCTATGCAATTAGCCAGATGGCTTCAAGCCACAGCCCAGCAGGGATTCTCTGTCCTTTAAAAACAACACACTGGACTTAAACCTTCATCTCCCTCAGTCACTTGACAACCTTGACGTCGGATGAGCAAATTCCCGGTGTTTGCCCTGTGTAATTTAGCCCCAGGCAGAATCGGAGGAATACCACACTGCAACACTGTTTGATTTCACTGCTGATCCCATGACTCCACCTGAAGGAGTTCTCTAAGCCGTGGGATCATGAACAAATTCAGCTGAACAATGGGGAAACAAACAAACTAATTTTTACTCATATGCTGCAGCAGCTGCTGGCTCTTTTCTCTCCTTGCCAAGTACTTCATTCCTCCCTCCCTCGTCTCATCTTCCAGTACCAATCTTGTGGTCGTTTCCTCTGCTGATACGCAGAGTCAGCTTTTTAAATTACCACCACCACCACGTGGAACGATTTACACCAGCACCTCAGTCAGAATGACCCATCTCGGCAACATCCCTGAAAAAACACTCTGCTGCATGAAGATTTTCATGCCGTTCAGCCCCCTGGATTTCCCTTGTAGAAATTTCCATAGAAACAGTGATTTCCACAGCTTTTCCGGGATGCCATGCTAGACTCAGCCATTAGACTCTGCTCTCTTGGTTTAGTACTGAGATCAGCACGTTGCAGAACTTACTGGGTGACACACCATCCGTTCATTGCGTTTAGTCAGTCTCTTCAGGTAGCTAGTGAGTAAAACTTTTCCTCGTTTGCTGTGTTACACTAGAATCTTCTATTAATCCTTGATAGCTTCACATCAAGACATTGTTGAAATATATTCACTCTCTATATTGTTTTTTTTCCAAGCTGCCTGGTTACATTTGATAGCACAATAATACAGAGCTTTTACATCCCAATAACATCAGGAGTGAGTGATATGTATATATAAGCTGCTACTGTTTTTTAATAATGATGTCTGTACCAATAAATGTTTAGAATATTTAATAGAGAAATTTGGCTTTCTCACTACAATGAACCTTCAGGTCTGTAATATAAATTCAACATTAGGAAGAACCCAAGAGAACAGCACCCTGCTATAGTATTTACTCCTCTGTATAAATTTCCTATCCTTCTCCTGACTCTTTTTTAGACCAAAAATCACAGCATGCCTTTGCTACACTTACAGAATAAACCTGAAATTTTCATTTAAAACACTAATGGCATGTCAGCAATAATGTTTTGTGAAGTTATCATATAGGTAAAGGATCACAAGTGAATCATCCCAGCTCACCATCTTTTGTGTGTCCTTATAGACAAAAATACACAATAGGACAAATTCTGCTTGCATATCTACAGATAACCTAGAAGGTAACAAGCTGCTAAATAAATAAAAATACCTTAGCTTATATAGAGTATTCTACAAGTATAGTCAGCAGTAAGCTCTGATTGGTTAATTTACAAAGGTCTTTGTTTTACTTCTCCTACATGGGGTTACAGCGGTAGCCAAGTTCTCCAAGCCAAGTTTCTCACCTCTTAGTCATGTCTTCCCAGGACATTTCATCTTTGTTGAGCATATCTTCAAGGCTATGCCTGTCCCTATTATCTCGTTCCCAGATCTTGTACAACTATGCAGTTTCTCAGGCCTCAGAGACTGGTTCCCAAGCTCTGTTTCCCAGGTCAGACAAAGCCTGATTCTGGAGTCTTAAACAGAGGGTTTTTGAAACAGGTATTCCATAGAATCACAGTCTTGTTCCAACAACCATTCTCCAACACAAACCAATGTGACAGAATGTATTTGATACAAACCCATGTTGATTGGCATTAATTACATTACTTTTCTTTAATTCATTATTGAAGCAAATCCTGTATCAGTGATTCTATACTTTTGCCTGGGATCCCTGTCAGTCTAATAGGTCTGTAATTTCTCAGGTCATCCTACTCAGGGCCAGATCCCAAACAAGACTTTGGAAAAATTTTCAGTACCTAACATTTAGAACTCAAATCTAAAAAAAAAAACCTCATTCAGCAGCAGATTGAGACTGAAAGAACACATGTACTGTCAAAGTTGCCTAAAGGCTTACAGTTTTCCTTCTCTGCATACCCAGATAGTCCTGAGCACAGAGATGTCTAACAAACTCCCAAGGCAAGGCTTTCATACATTTGGGGTGTCACAGCCAGGTCCTTGTTTCCTACCTAAAAACCTGGTCTGATCTGATGTTAAAGATTTCCCAGACTTTGTCCAGGATACTTGGAACAATGTGGTGATTTCACTGGAGCCCTGGCATGAAAGGTGTTTGAAACTGATGGCAGAGAGGGAATGCAGCTGTAGCACACCTGGGTAGCTGGTTGCCATCTACCAGGTTTAGCAGTCCTGGGATGTGCTGGTCAGCAGGGTTACAGCACTTGCCCAGCAGGTCCCCTGCATACTGCAATTCCATGACCTGCTGCACTGCAACCCCCAGCACAAATGCTACAAATTCTGGAGAGAAGACAGAAGCATTATCAGCTCTC